CTAATCGGAAAATAAATAAAAAGGAGAGTTGACTCTACAAAAAATGTATTCTAGAATTATTGTCAATGATTTTGAAAAATTCACTGACTACGATAAAAAATTTCATGATTACAATAGAAAATTCCTTGACTAAAACCTAAGAATGAAATTTACTTGAAAAAAAGACAGTTGACTAAACGCGGGAAATTTGCCGATTGGCAATGATTAATTAGCCAAATACAAACGAATGATTCATTATAAACTCTTAGAATCAAATAAAAAAGTTTCCAATTCAGAAAGAGTCCCCCTCCCGCATAACTGTAACTCACGAACGGGTACCGTACACACTAAACCACAAACAAATTCAAAAACGAAAATCTAATCCGATGATTCGCTGCTAGACAAGTTCAAAATGTTCTTCGCCTTGTTCCTATAACTCCTCTTCGCCACATCAATCTTCTTCCTGAAATGCTCAAGATTCTTCATCTTCTCCCCCTGGTCCGACTCCTGATTCTCCATCCCGTTGCTCTTCTCATTAGTAGAAATCGAAGAAGTGATCCCAATCCCGCTATCAGGAGTCGAAGGAACTTGCACCTTGAACCTATTCCTTGGAGTCGATGGCCCACTCTCTTCAATCCTCGAACCGTTCACACAAATCCTCCAATCCTTCTTTTTTTCTAATCCCTTCCACTTGCTCTTGCACTTCACCGAATTCTCATTCTTATTCCCGCAATTATTTTTAGTCTTCTTATATTTCCTCTTAGTCTTATCAAACTTCCCTGAGTGGAAAGCTAGTTTTTTATCCTCTTCTGAGCTGCTGCTGCTCTTCTCATTTTTTTCAATAATTTTTGCAAAGAATCGGCCAGTTGTTTTCCGAAAAACGACGCCGGAGCTCGTACTGGGTTGCGTTGTGTCTACGGCCTCTTCATCAGATTCAGAATCGCTATTAATTTGTAGGGCCGCGCGTTTCCTGCGGCTCCAGCCGCGTCTCTCGTTTTTTCTTTTAGCTCCTTTTGATTTCAAGAATTTTCGATTTTTACTCTCGCTGGTTTCATCGGATGATGGGTCTGAGGCTAGATTGTTACTGTTGCTTGTGGGATTTGTGGTGTTGTTTGAGGAGGCCAAGCGTAAGAGCTGCTCACGGCGGTAGGCGATTAGGCGGGTGATTCGGTTCGGGGATTCTAAGGGGCGTTCTGGCGCCACACCACCATCTGAGGGCCCGTCCGACGCTAGGTTCACTTCGGACCCCAAAATGTTTAAGATACGTATGGAGATCGGTGTGAAGTCTACCGACATTTACAATCGTCGGTGTTATTTAGTTATAGGGTCGTACAAATGGATTAGGTTAGGTTAGATTAGTAGCAGGGGTTAGTTGTGATTCAGAAAATTTGAGCTGATTCGGAATCAGCGGCGTAAGTATAAGATTATTACTATGTACTGATTTTCAGAATGACTGAAAAATTTTGATAATCGACATTTTGAATTTTGGAAACATGATAGCTGACTTGGAATGAAAGCCACGAAAAACTACAATATATTGATTATCATAACAATTGGACGCCTTGAAAAATTTCGCCAATTGTCATTTTGAATTTTGAAAATCTAATCACGGATCCAATTCAAAACACTCATATACACGGCTTTTTATAAAAAAAAATTATGGGTAGACAAATACTACTCTCAAATGGCTAAAGAATGTATACAATTATTTTTTAAGAAATACTAATAACATTAAAGAATTTTTGGGTACCTACCATCGGAATCTGTCTCGCTGTAAATCGCCCTGCCGGCTACTGGATTGCTCTCGAAGTCTGAAAGAGTCCTCTCCAACATGTCTTCCGAGCTCCATCCTTCGATTTCTCTTTGTACTAGGGAATCGAAAAATGCCATCATTCTGGGATCCTCTCTAGTCGACTGATGGCTGTAATCGTGGGTCATAAAACGGCCACTGTGGAGGACTAAGCCTATATACTGGTCGTGAGTAAACACCTTCCTCTGCCTCTCCTGTTTACCATCGTCCCTCTAGAATAAAAAAATCTATTTATATGGCGGATCCAACATGGCGGATCCAATATGGCGGACGAGAATGAAATTTACTCCACCAAATAATATTCCTAAATCAATTCTCCTTACCTTTAGTCCTCCTAGACAATTATTTCCCAATGGAAACGGGCTCCAAATCTTAATTAGCTTCTCCACTCCCGAGGACGCGAAAATGCAACTTGCGGAATTGTACCTAACTTGATTTACTATCGATCTATGGCCGCGAAGGACCATATGTGCCGAGTAGACCCACTTCACATCCTCGCTGGGTATCTTCCACATGTACAAATTGAAATCATCCGATCCTGCAACACAAATACAACTATTACTATACTTTTCAAAACTCAAAATAGTCATACAAATCAATTCATGATTAAATTGTGAAATTCTTAATTACCAGAGAGTACGTATTCGTCGTTGTCTCCAGCGAAGCAGCAGGACTTCATAGTGCAACTGTTGTAATACCCTGGATGATCGAACTGGCACATATGGGCCGGAGAATTGACAGCGTAGAGAACAGGCGGCAACCGTCTCCTCAACGCCAGAAGCCGATTCCCAGCCGCGTTGAACCTCACGTTCATACAACTCTGCGCAGTGCTCTCGTGGCCGTAACGCAAAACAGGTCTGAAAAGACAAATTTACTTATTCGATCATACACTGGTTAAAAAATATAAAAAAAAAATTATACATTTTTGTCACCCGCAAGGGACAACAAATAGTACACAAGTACTTATTTTTACATGAATTAGCCTATTTATTAATTTATTGTTTGTACTCACTCTAACGGTTTTCTGACGTCCCACATTGCTATCCCCTCTTTGGCATTAGCGGTGGCCAACGTTTTCGGCTCGACGGGGTTGAACATTACAGAATGGAACGCGGTCTTGTATTTAGCTAAGCAGAACGTCTCCATAGGGCTAGAGGCGCGGATGTCGTAGATGAGGACGCGACCGTCGTCGCAGGCGCTCGCGAAGACGTTATCATTGTGCGGGTGTACCGAGAGACCGTAAACCGGCTTCTCGTGTAGGAAGAAGTTCACCACGTCCGCCCTAAACAATTTCATTCCAGATTTTCGAATCCTTTTAGTATATTTGTTGTTATAAATTGTCACACTTACGTTCTGAGGTCGTGGACGATCACTTGGTCATCGTTGCCCGCGGAGAATATTTTCGTTTTACTGTTGTCGTAGCCGAGGCAGAATATGTTGCTAATGTGTTGAGCCTTCATCTCGACCGGCTTGCCGAAATCTTGTATCGCCTGCTCTACTCGCCATAGTAGTACCCTCCTATCATCGCCACCTAAACAATTTCAATTAAATAATTAGACTTCGGTAGTGGTGCCATAAGATAGGGTGCTATGAATTGACCAAAGATTTAGTGAATCTAAGATGAAGTTGGACGATTTTCAAAATTACCGTCCACCATATTGGAAATGCTATTTCGAATTTTTTAATTTTTATACTATATAGGTGCGCATTCAGCGGGAAATTTAATTGTAATCGATTCTATCGAATTTCAAGTATTTTTGGTCATTTTTTAACTTTTATAAAACAAATCCTAATATATAAATTTTCTTACTTACTACTACCAACTAGAAACTTTCAAAAAACTCTGTTCGCCATGTTGGAACCACCATTTCAAATTTCTAATGGCGGATTTGATTCATAGATACTGATTTTTATGCAAAAATGATGGACAGAAAAAAGAAAATTTCTCTTAAACAGTTAATTACAGAATATAATAAAAAATAGTAGTTATAAATTAAATAGGAAATAATAACGTTTCGGAAAAACTTACCGGAAACGAGGAGATCTCCCTGGTTCGAGAACTCGATGGCGTTGACACAGCCATAGTGCGACAGCAAGTCCTTTCGAAACAGATTCTCCGAATATTCGAACCTGGCGTTTACCAGTCTTTTGCATTGGTCCACCTTCCCATCAATCTGTCTCTGGATCAAATACGAAAGTGGGTTGCTGTCCGAAACCGGCGCCATTTTCTTATAATTTCACTATCTTCAATCCGAAACCAAAATTATTATCCAAACTTCTTTTCGGAAATTCTTCTTTAGGGTCTTTTTCCCCTCTCACAGGGTTTCACATCACATTAACAGCCACCAGCGCCATCATTATTCAAGTTCTCGAATTGTCTTAAATTTTTTTTAAAGACTGTCTTTAAATCGTTTTTTCTTCCTTCTCAATTTTAGATTAGAATCGCTTTCAGTTCTTTGTCAAGCGACGCCATTTTTTCTTAGACTTCCAAACTTTCAAATTTTTACGAATTTTGGTTTTAATTTATAGCCTAGTGC